AGCCACACAGTACACATGCTCACTCAACAGCATCTACCTCTCCCCATTGACTAGTACAGTGAAGTCGTCACTGTTCACACATGTGCATCCCAGTCCACTCTCCTTGGCTGCCAGGTTACATGGACACCGTGCAAAATGTTCTTGTTATGTTAACAATGGCTGGACGTTTTCTGGTTAGACCTTGTATATATAAAAGTATTAACACTATTTCTGTGTAAATGAAGGGATTATGAGTGAATCCTTTTTTTCTGCTGCATTCAGTATTTTCTGCATTACTAAAACATGTTATTAAAACAAATATAGGAATTTGAGCTTGCGACTGAGGGAAAAAGTCGAGTTTGAGCTTTTGCTTTGCACAGTTATAACTAGCATTTTCCACGTGGCTGAGGTTACTCGGACCTGGTACATAGAAGACAAAGCTGAGGGTAGAACCTTGAGGTCCACCATCCAAAGCACCAGCTCTTGACATTTCCTGGCTTATACAACCATGGTGGGGTTGCGAGGTGTAGTACTGAATCAGGTACAAGATGGGGTCCAGGAAATTGCATTCGGGGTGGGGGGCAGGGCATGCAGGTAATTTGATGCAGGCGAGTGAGAGAGGCCACTAGGAAACACAGATCTGAAGAATGGCACCCCATGGAGGATGCAGGTAGGAGGCAAAGGACACAGTCATGGCCAGGAGGACGAAGGACTTTGGAGACAATATGTCATAAATATTTTAATAAAATGGATTAAAAAGCACAGTGTGTTATAATAAACAGTTGCTCTCCGTGGCTGCACATTAGAATCGCCCGGGGGAGCTTTAAAACATTTGAGTGTGGGGGTTTGCTAGTAATGGTGGTAAATCTCCCTCTTCAGCACTGCTAAGAGGAGGAGACACTGAGTCCGCAAATGACTTGTAAGCAAGGGAATCAAACAAAACTACACAAATGCCGACAGTGCGCCCCCTGCTGGTCTGCTGCAGCCACCACAAGCCAAGGCCTGCGGAAATCAGGGGCAAGGAGCCTCAAAATCCTTGGGAGAGGGGAGCGGAGCAGGACCCTTGGAGAAAAAGCAGACAAAACCACCCCGGAAAGAGAAAGGAAACAATATACAGGGTCTGGCAGAAGTAAGGCCTGCTTGAGTGTGTTTGGTAGGGTAATATTACGGGTGTAGTAATTTATAGTTTTCATTTGAACAATTCACCTAAACTGTCATCTGGTGTGCATGAGTGTGATATTACGATGTTACACATTTTCTAATAAAAAGGGGCATTATTTGTGCCGGACCCTGTATACAAAAATAGTAACACCCAGAGCCTTGGCTATGGACAGGGGCTGGAGTGTGCAGGACCAGAGGTTCAGACGGGAGCTCCTGGGGGTCGTCAGGGTCCACGGAGAAGAGGGGGCGTCCCGGGAGACTGGTAGCAACCGGAAGAGGACCACACATCAGCTCCCTCCCTCCTCTCCCTGTCCCCAGCCATCCGTGAAGGACACTCACAGAAGGCGGCAGAACAGGCAGGAGAATGCGGCACGAGGCGCCTGCCCGCGGAATGAACAGGAGCGGAAAACGACAGGCCACTTCTTCAGACAAGGACCACAAAACGCCCCAAGTTGCGAATAAAAGATTCTCGGCTGGCCAAGTCTCCTTCCATCCCCAGCAACCCTGCATTTGAAGAAAAGCGGTAACACAACACTCAGTATTAAGTAAAAATTCTTCAACGTGCATTTGGGGGGAGGGAAAATACCCTGAATAGAAATACAAAAACTAACAGAGATTTCAAGGGGAAAAAACAAAACAAAAAACAAGAAACCAAACGAGAGCTGATGGAACTTAGGAAATAGAAGAAAATCATATAACCGTATCAGTGATGAAGAGCAATTATAAGGTGCCCAAAGGGTTCACATAAAAACTTAATAAAGGATATTGAATAAAAGAAGGAAAACAACCAAGGAAATGAAAACAAAGATAAAGAAAATAAAAAAGATCAGAGAGAAGGAGGTTGAAATGGAAACGAAGCAAAGGAGGCTGCAAATTCCCATTATTGCTGTCTCTGAAGAAGAAAAAACAAATAATGGAACAGAGTATCAAACTCTAAGAGCAAGTTCCAGATATAAATGAACTGACTCTGCTTATTGAAAGGGTTTGGAAAAGGGGAGTGCTTAGGAAAACTGACCACAAATAATCAACTCTGAAACATAGCTTGGTAAAATGAGTAGACTGTAAAAATACAGGAAAAAAAAATCTCAGATCCTCTAGGCTAAAAATGAAAAAAAAAAACAAAACAAAACTTGCAAAGGCCAGAATTAGATTGGCTTCAGATTTCTCAAAAATAACATACAAAGCAAGGAAACAGCATGGAGCAGCAGTTTTAAGAAACTTAAGGAAAACAAGCTGCCTTTCCAGCTTTAAGTGACAGAAAATCAGTTCTGAATTTGCTGGAACTGCAGGAATACGGTACACACGGGCAGTTGCTGCCAGGGAATTTCTGGGAGGGTGAGCCGCATCCAAGCAAAGGACGTCTGGGAACCGAGGACGGACAGCGAGTTTCATTTCCCTTATTGGACTGCGGAGCTAAGACTAAAACAGGATGCGCTCCTGGGCTGAAAAAAGTAGGTTGCATGTAGAGCAGATGCAACGGAAAAAATGGGAGGAGAGAGAAAAGAGGGAAAGTAGAGAAAGAACGTGGACTGCTGGGGAGGTGGGAGGCAGGAAGCCCGTACATATCACTTAGAAAAGACAGAAAAAGGTTACTTAAGGAAAAAGAGGTTAAGAGCACTACAAAAAGGATTAGTGCAAAAGTAACCACTAGAATGAAAATACAAAGCTTCCTATAAAACACACACACACACACACATGCTCATATATGCTCACCAAGAGCCATCCCCGCATGGGGACACAGGAAATGTGACACACTCAGTAATTACCACATGAGATACAAGGCATAACAGAAGAGAGGGCAAACACAGCAGTCACATCACACCACTTGAGTAGGCCTAACTTGCCTGTGAAAAGATTTTCCAATTGGCTCACAGAGCGGAAACCCAACCCTGTCCTGGTGCAAGACAGACACGCGCTTAAAACGCGAAGCTGAAAACAGAGGGTGGAAAATAAGGGATAAGATAAAGACTTATCGGGCCGATGGAAACAGCAGACAGAGGGTTTGCAATCATGAGAACGAGGCAGACTTCAGAGGCAGACTTCAAAGCCAGCGCTAAAGACATAAACAGAGAATTTGGAGAGGTATGAAACGGCCCTTGAACATATGAAAAGGTAACTGACTTTACTTATAATAAGACAAAATAAGAGTTAAAACTGTATTGAGATGCCAAGCCTCACCCATAAGGTTGATCACATCAAACCGCCCCCCACCCCCAAATCTCATTCGTCTTTGGCTTGGGCGCCTACTGCTATAATCCTATTTGATGACACTTTGGTTGTGTGTCAGTTACCCATTGATTATTCCCCAGACCGGGTGGAGGACCCTTTCAATACACCTCTCTTTGAGAACCAAGGGTATAAGGCATTAACTTTTCATAATTCTAACATATATGTACTTTTAATTTTTTTTCGCTAATGACCACATCAAAACCTTGCAGTTCCTGAGACTGAAGGCTGGCCTGGGAGAAACAGTCTATATTTGGGAAAGTTGGATTTCATTTCGTTAGTGTCATTGGAAATCGTTTTATCGGGGCTCATTTTGCCTTGTTAGCCACCTCTCTTTGGGTCAGGCGAAATGGGAGCTGCAGCTGATACACGGAAACTGTCTCGGGTTCCACGCCCTCAGGGGGCAGTCCTGTCTAACCGCCCCTTAACAGGGTGAGAGGACGATTTGTTCTCATGAAGGTGGGACTGCTCAGACGCATTTTAACCAAGCCTGCTCACCGTGCACAGTGACGTGATGGAACGGTTTCGTTGTAGTTGGAGAGGTTGCAATGGAAAGCTAAAAGGTGCTGGCTCATCCCCCTGCTCACCTGGTACCAGGCACAGCACTGCAAAACAGCAGTAGGCATGTCCCTAGACCTTCAGGGTAGCCCTTGGGTAGGCTGCTATCCCCAACTTAAAGATCACGTACATATGACTTCGTTTTAAAATGGATATAGGACACTGGTTCTTAAATGGGGGTGATTTTGCCCCCTTAAGGGACATGGGATATCTGACAATGTCTGAAGACACTTTTGAGTATCATAACTGGGAGGTGCTACTGTCATTTGGTGGGTTGAGGACAGAGATGCTAAGCATCCTACAATGTACAAGACAGCCACCCCTCCTCGCCCCCCTTCCCCACCCCTCATTTCCCTGTAAGAAATTATTCCTTACAAACTACATCAATAGTGCTAGGGTCCAGAAATCCTGTTTTATAGAAAACTGGCTGTCAGCTGGACTTAATTTTCATCTCCCTAAAACTTTTCTTTCTTATTTGAGACTGTTATGGTCCATCAGAATGTTTGCGTGCCCCCCAAATTCCTGTGTTGAGATACTGATGCCCAATGTGATGGAGTTAGGTGGGGGCTTTGGATTGATTAGGTTATGGGGGTGCAATCCTCATTAAGGGGATCGGTGACTTATAAAAGCAGCTCCAGAAGGTCCCTTACTCCTTCTACGACATGGATTCGAGGAGGAGTCTGAGGTCTGGAAGAGCCTTCCCGGAAGGGGCCCCGCTGGCACCCTGATCTTGGACTTCTAGTCTCAAGAACTATGAGATAGATTGATGCTGTTTAGAAGCTACCCAGCCTGTGAAGAATACGTAAACATTCATGAAATGGACTGAAACACGGACAAACCTGAGGACCGAGATATGGCAGCAGATTGCTTTGGACCGAATACAAATGGAGTTGGGCCGGGGAGGCATGTTACCAGCACTGGGGGATGTGCACGGGCCCCACACTCTGCATCTCCGATGTGCGACACCAGCTGTGCACACTCAGTGTTAGAGTCCGTGAGGTTCCTCACCGGTCCTCAGAGGACCGACTCCTCTGCCGGTTTTCGCCGTGGAATCACTCACACCAGCACAACGGCGCTCCTCCAGGAATGTTTTTATTTACATGAAAACACCATTTTATACAAATTGAAGAAGACAAATCTTAAAGAAGGGTTTGCCCAGGCATGCTGTCCCCATTCCCTGATTTCGCCCTTTCCCTTTCATTTTTTTTGGCATCGCAGAGAAAATGTCTCAGACTGGCTAAAGGGCACTAAACCTGCCTCTTTCTCCCCCTGAAATCCCTCTGAATACTTCACGTCCACCCTCATTCTTCAAAGAAAACTCTTGCCCAGGGTTATTTTATTTAATTTATTTATGTAATACAGTGTAGAAAGCTATATGGTCATAAGCAATGACTGTACAATCATCCTGCAGAAATTTTTTTTTAGGGAGAATTCTTGGTAATTTGAGACCAGCAGAACAGTCCCCCCCCCACCCCCTCCCCCCACCGATAAAAGTGCTTACAAGGAACAGGGATTCTTTTATTTATCAAAGATCCAAAGATACATGGACCAAAAAAATTTCAATTCTGAATGCCTAATGTGTGCACATAAAACAGGCACAAAGAAATAAATGTGTATCCTCATAGTTCCCATGTCACAAAGAGAGCAGAAGCAGCAATCTGTACAGGAAAACGCAGTCACGGAGAAAGTCCTCTAAGTCACGTGGAATACTCGGAAGTGTTGAACTCTAGAATGCATAGTGATCAGGAAAAGAATACTTAGGCAAGAGAAGCAGCTAAACTCCCACGTCCACACGAAGCGTCCCCCATCGATTCTTAAAGCATATTTCAAGTAGGACTTAACTGGGTCACAAACCACAAGAATAATATACAACCGGCTAAGGGGCTACGTGATAAATAATCAGGAGAGAAATCTAATCATGCACTAGTCTGATAACAGCTAAGTTCTTTACAGTACACAAAAACCATTAATGATGTAGTGTGGAGACCAAAATGTAAAGGGAGAGAATACATTGCTGATTTGTGTGTTAAATTCAAGTTCAGGCATCTACTTGTGTTACAGCACAGCTGTCGAAAGGCGGTAATGAGCGAGTAATAAAACAGAAAGGCTGGTTTCTTTCCACAATATTCTATAAATGAACACCGATGGGTCGTGAAGCAATGGTTCTGCTGTCCAACTTCGGAGGCTGCTGTGGCGGTTGGTCTAGTTCTGCATCTGCTCGAAGAACTTGTAGGTTGGGTTTTCGTAGCCGTTCTGCTGCATCTTGGAGAGGTGGCGCTCCTCTGGGGTCACAGCGGCGTCAACCTGAAAAGCAAGCACAAGGAAAACGGAGTAAAAAACTCCAGCCTTTAAAGAGTGCACGTGGAGAAGCTGTCAGATGATAAGCACAGCGCTCTGCTTTTGCCAGGATGGCAGACCACCCACTATCTTCTTCTGTCTTCTGCACGTGGACACCTGGAGCAGAACCCTGTGCCCATCAGTCACGCAGATGCTCCATCTGGCCACCAGGTGGCGCTTCAAACCTTGACGTGCTCTTTGCTTGCTTCCCCAACTCAACAAGAACTAGATAACACATACTGGGCAGAAAATTTATTTTTTCCTCTTCCCTGCTGGCTCGAAAGATACACCCGAAAAAACCCCACGATGGAAGGCTGCTTTACTTGAAAGTGTAGGGGTAAACTAGAAAAAACCCCAAAGTATCAGGAAGAGAAATCCTGCAAAGTCTCCTGGGAGACACTCCAATCTGGACTGTGCTACCTTCCCAGGTTTAATCTGTCCTTGTTTTTGCTAAATTCAATGCGATGAAGAAAGGTCGGAGGCTCTTTCAATCAAAATGACAATATATGTACATCAACGGCGTTCTCATTTGGCACAGAAAAAGAATGAAAAACATAACAAGGACATGCCATTCTAGATGACAGATTATCTTTTTTTTTTTTTTTAAAGTGAGCACTAAGGTACTCAGAAGTATTTCCTGCTAAAGGTTTAAAAATAGACCCTCTGTGGACGCGATGCCTTACCTCTAAGATTAGGCCGGCAACTGTAAACTTGCCATGCTCACCCCACCCCAGCGTCACCGTTAGGACTCAGCTGTGGGCGAGCCTGTGATGCAGCCTCTCACCCTGGGCGAGGCCTGCGGCCTGTCCTGTGGGGAGTGGCTGTTCGGGGGTCTCGTCTATCTGCTCTGCCTCTCTGAGTGCACAGATAAGGCGGAGTACTTAACTCTCTGCTGAAGGAGTAAAAACTTGCGTTTGTCATTCTTTTTAAAATTTCTCTTCTGCAAAACCACCGGAAGATGAAGGAAAAAAAAAAGCACCACCAGTGTAACCAGAATGCAGAAGCCAATTTTCCAAAGAGAAGTTAGGAGGCAGAGTGCAGAAGATGGTTTTTCCTTCAAAGTGATCTTTCTGTTCTGCACACGATGGCAAAGGGCTCCCCACACGATTTCCAGGAAAATACTGCAGGCCTGTCCCCCACGGCTGAGGGCTGCAAAGTGACGTTCAGCTTCGTGTGCGGTCTCCCCCGCACTGCTGTCCCACTGCTGCCCAACGGAGGAAAAAGAGCAGAGTAGGCGTGTTGCTGGTGCTAAGACACCGAGTCTGGGGAGGGGGGTCGATGCAACACCGTGAGGAGGCCACACCGTCTAATGAATAACCGGGACTGAACGACTGGTGTTGTGGCCACTGTGGGGAACAGTACGGAGGCTCCTCAAGAAACTAAAAATAGTCACCGTGTGACCCAGCAACTCCACTTCTGGGTGTTTATCAGAAGGAAATGACTCCACAGTGTCAAAAATATATCTGCACCCCTGTTTGTTGCTGTGTTATTTACAATAGCTAAGACATGAAAACAACCTAAGTATCCATCGATGGATAAGTGAACGGCAAAAATGTGGCGCATGCACACACACACACACACACACACACAATTATTCAACCATGAAGAAAGAAATCTTATCCTTTGTGATAACACGGATGGACCTTGAGGGCACTGTGCTAAGTGAAAAACGAGAAAGAAGAAAGCTGGATGATATGAATTATATGTGGAATCTAAAAACCACCCCAAACTCAGATACGGAGAACAGTGTGGTGGTTGCCACGGACCAGAGGATGGGGGCGGATGAAGTGGGTGAAGGATATGAACTTCCAGTTACAGAGCAAGCCAGGCCATGGGGACGTAACGTGCACCGCGGTGACTCGCATTAGCAGCACTCTGCTGTGTACTTGAGAGCTGCTAAGAGAGCAGGTCTCAAAAGTTCTCATTACAAGAAAAAACTCTGAGGTGATGGATGTTGGCTGCACTTACTGCGGTAATCGTTTCACAACTTACACATGTATCAAATCATGTCGTGCAACTAAAACGAATACATTATATGTCGATGACGCCTCAGTAAAACGGGGATTGAAAAGAGGATTTGTCAGTATGCGCTGGCACCCCTGGGGTCAGTTACTGTGACCCACAGAGGACACTGTTTGAATGGACACTCAGCGTCACTGGCCTCATGGGAATAACCGCCCGTTTTCCCGTCAGCAGCAGTGTGTTACTCAAACCTGGGCATGCCTGCTCTGTGCTGCCTCTTAACTGACATGGCAGAGAATGTCAAGGGTAAAAAGAAGCCTGGCTGCGGAGATCCAGCCACAGCTGCTGCGTTTCTGAGTGCAGGAAAACCATAGTGGTGCTGGAACGCCGAGGTATCATAGCTGCACGTGCTCTGGGGGCCGCAGCAACCCTCCCAGCCACTGTCCGCTGTCATCTGCATTCATCACGTGCAGAGGGACACCCGACAATTCAACAGTTTATGTCGCCTCCGAAGCCCAAAGCCAAGAGCTTCAGAGAGCCCTGCCAGAGATGTGAGGCTCAGGGGCTGGCGTGAAACCCAGGCAGCTAACCCTCCTCTTTCTTCACGGCCCCTTTTCTACTTGCTCCTCCTCTGTCCCTGGCCACTAGGAGGTGGCTCCTGTGTCACCATCCCTGCCATGGGGGACACAGCCCTCAGACCTCCGAGGGCCTGGAAGCTCCAGGAGAAAGGGTTACCGTTACAAAATGGCACCTGGGGAGTACAGATTGTAGCTTTTTCATCCCCAATCCCCTGGAAGCAAAATGTGAGACATGAACCCCCATGTTCACGGATAATCCCATCACTGAAGGGAGAGCTTGGGCTAAGGCGGAGCCTTCTTCTCCAACAGGCTCAGCAACCTGTCACTCACGGCTAAGCAGCAGCACTGTGTGGGCCACCACGAGACCACACACGTCTGCCAGCCCACTGTCCGCTGTGCAGACGAGCGCCTTAATACTATATCCCTTACGGCAGACCTGGGGGGAGTTGGGGCCAGGGGTGCTTGTTCTGGAAGGAATGATAGCACCATGATGTCAGCAGGGACGGCTGTCACTTGCTGAGATGAAAACAAGCATGCATGCCACCTCTGAACAAACATTCCCTCCCGGCCTGAATTGCATGGCAGCGGAATGATCTGTGGTGTCTGCGTTTGGCTCCCGGTGCGGCGTGCAGTCTTCCCGAGAGCCCGGGGGCCTGACTGCACACAGCTGGCCTTCAACGGGCCCCACACAGCCTCGGCTGAGCCCACACAGCCCGAGCTGCCTCCTCCTAACAGAGCCTTGGGGAGAACCTCTGCACACTCTTCCTACTCCTTTCTCTCCCAGCTTGACTCTTTGGAACCACTTATCCCTTCACTGCATCCAGAGGAATTTACAGCTCAACCATCACACACAGTCTGTAGTCTAAAAGGCACCTTAAGCCAGCGAACACCATGCTTTAATTGCATGCTGGACGGCCACCAGCAGGTGTGTGTTGACGGTGCCTCTTTCAAGCGCGGCACCGAGTTAGACTGAACGACCGAATCCCGACCCCTGAGACTTTCCATTTCAGATCCTCCACGTGGATAAGCAGAGGAGAAGATGAACTAAAATGTACGTGATGATGTCAGAGAGTGAGAACGTAAAGGAGGCAGTAACTGGGCAGAAAAATGAAAGCAAAGAGCAACCACGTTTCCAACCCCCCACTCATCCCCCACCCAGTGTCACTTTTTGCTCAGCTGTGTACAGGTTTCTTTCCTTCATTGTCATCCGATCGCTTGATAAGGGGTTACGTTTAATGCCCACATCGAGGAAGTAGTCTTCAGGTGGGCTCTGGAACCTTTGCTCTGCCTTCACCATCATGTCTGATGTGCCCCCTTGACCTTCCAATGTCTCGCCATGCTGTTGGCTCCGGGACACATGTGGATTCCGAGTCTAGCCTCACTCGTCCTCACCTCCGCTTCCCCTTTTCACCTGCCCGTTCGGTCCCGCTGTCCTGCAACACCTCGTGAGTGCCGCCCTCCTGCCAGGACGAGAGGACCCCCGAGGCCAGAGTGTTTTTGGAGTGTCACCAGCGTGACGGCACATGCATCAGAAAAAGGCACATGCAGTAAAACGCCACAGAAAGTTAAACCAGCTACTACTTCTCTTCTCGTTTAGGCTGGGGGTGTGGAGAGCCTTCTGGTGTTCGAGGCAACAGCTCTGCGAAGAAAAATGTTTTCCACCCTATAATCAAGAATTTGTGTCCTCCTCCCCTTAATTTTTGAAAATGGAAATATAGTTGACATATAACTATGCAAATTTAAGGTGTACGTGTTAATTGGATATATTTATTCACTGTAATATAATTGCCATTGTGGTGATAATTAGTGCCTCTATCATGTTAGAGAATTATCTTTTCTTTCTGGTGGTTGGAATAATTAAGTTCTAGTCTCTGTGCAAGTTTGATGATTACACTATTGTCTATGTTTACTAGCTGGTGCTTCAGATCTCTAAGGCCTTTTTACTACTCAAGTTTGTGCCCTTAGACAACATCCGCCCTAGCCCCCTCTCCCCTTAAAGGCGAGGACTCCATTTAGGAGGACTGGAAAGAGCTACAATATATATTTGCAAGTATCCACTGTCAACTGACATCAGTGCAGAAAAGTACCATCTGCTACCAAACAGAACCCGGGGTCGATGGGCTTTGGGCTTTGCAGGACCAGATTCAAACACGAGCAACAGTGGATAACTTAGCCGGAGCCAGGCTCCCTGGCCACCACAGAGGGCGGCACATCTGGGAAGCAGTGCAGCAGAGGGCCACCGTGTCACTGCTTGCAGCATAAACACGGCATAGTGATCTTCTTGGGAGACCATGGTTAATGGCTCACAAAATGAATCTTTGGCCTTACGGCCAACCAATCACCAAGTCAATGTTTACTGCTTAGTTTTTAAAAACCAAACCCGGCAACTGCTCATGTCCCTCTGGTAACAACTCTATGAATAAAAAGACCAGGCTCGAGTTCATTTCTGCATTTCTGTCCTCTTCTGTCAGGGTCTTCCACTCAGAGAAGGGGAGGTTTCCCGGGGACCAGTGACTTCTCATGACTTCTTCACGCACCGACGGCATGAAGTGCCATGTACGCTGTCCCGACAGACTCCAGCCAGTCCGCCGGAAATATTCATTTATCCCTTTCTGTTCCTAGGGAAGTGGGGTTACTCATTAATCAGAACAAGTGAATCGGAGCTGGAAATACACCTGTCTGCGGGCACTTGAGCGTGAAAGCCTGCAAAGGCAGGCAGAGAACGCTGTGCAGGAGAAACACTTCCACGTGGCGCAGACTCAGGTACACTCTTGGAGAAGTGGCGCTCTGGGACCCCTCAGCACGCTGCCTCACCTGGCCCAGGTGAGGCAGCCTCGGTGCCTAGGCTGGTTTGCAGCTCTCCGCGTTCAAGTTCGACCACCCCTGCTAGACTGTAACCTCCTTAAAGGGCAGGGATGGGGGACAACACCATAGATGAAGCTCGGGCCCAACTCTGCGTCACAGCTCAACACGGTGCCCGAGAAAGCGATCCTTCAGAAACACACGCGAGGTGGGACACTCGCTCTAGAGAGGTTTCTGGTTGCCGGCAAGCAGCTAGAAAAACGAATATCAAAAGAAGAGCAGAAGAACTGCCCTCCCTATAATTTTACGGATGTCTCTTGTCTTAAAAATGATTTCCTCTTCCCCAGCCCCCCAGAATCTGTGTTGAAGTGTCAACTTTTCTGATCTTCCATGTCCAAGGAGACTCTTCTTGGTAACGAAAAGAAACATTTAACTTGGGTAGCTATGATTATGTCTTTAAGTCTTCTTTATAGTCTTCAAAGGCATAACCTCAGAGAACTAGTTATCTATGGGTTTTTTTTTTTTCAAAGAAGAAATACTTAGACGATCCTTGCATGTCTGATTCAGTCAGAAAAATTTTCAACACTCAGGTTCCCAGCCTTCTATTGGGAAAGTCCGTCTTCCTAAGTCTGAGGCGGGGCCTGGGGATGAGTCCTTTCCAACAAGCACCTGGTCCGTCCTGGGAGATGCCTCCCTTTCCTGTGCAACGTTACTGAGCTCTGTGATGGGCTGAACTGTATCTGCCTCCAATTCATACATTGAAGTCCTAGCTGCTTGTACCTGTGACACCATACAATTGTATTTAGAGACAGGGTCTTTCAAGAGGTCATTAAGGTTAAATCAGATGACTAGGGTAAACCTGAACCCGGTAATTCTCAGGTCCTTACAAGCAGAGGTGGTGGCTAGCACATGGACATGCACAGAGGGAGGCGGGGTAAAGGCACAGGGAGGCCACGTACACTCCATCCAGGAGCCCTTGGTCTCGGACTTCCGGCCCCCAGAGTCGTGCGGAGGAGAACTGAACGTCTGTCGCCGAAGCCCCCAGCCTGCAGCTTTGTGATGGCAGCGCCAGCAGGGAGGTCACACTGCTGTGTCACCAAGTCGCTGAGGTGCCACGGGAGCCTAGCTCTCGCTCCCACCGAGTAGCCTGCTGCGAACACTGATTTCGTCACGTTGTTTAAACTGTCGATGACATTAAGTGAGGTCTTATACTGTCTGTGGCCTTTGTCACCAAAGACAGGCCCTTTGGTAAGAGGAAGCTGCCTCTGGGATGGATATATCAGTCCAAGACGATTAAAACGCAATTATAGTAAAGAAATTAAAAGGGGATTTTGAATTACTCAAGTAGGTAAAACCTTTTCTTTGCCCAAACCTGGGATTAAAATGAAAACCCAAACAAAACTGTTCTGAGTAGGAATGAGACGAACTGGTGCCAGTGATACTGCATTGCAGGCTGTTTGGAAGGACCCGAGCTCAGAAGTACTATTATAAAAAGAGCAACCTCCCAAATTTGATGACACTGTCATTGCTGATTTTATGTGCTCACACTCCAGATTGTCAATCACTCAGTTCTTTCACATTCTGTCACTCGTTCTCTGGATTCATTCATTTCGTTACTTTTTAGTACTCCCCCTCCCACCCCACGTGCCCCACTTGGACAGAGAAAATAAGATACAAAGCCAAATTCCATCAGTAGCTTCTGAGAGCAAGTAGCCTGGAGATTTTAGAGGCTGGACAGAGTGAGGTGCCTGGCTCTGCACAGATCTAGTACATCGAAGCTGTTCCCGCTCCCCGACACCCAGACGTGGGGTTTGGGGCATGTTTCCTTGGGGTTAGTGAGAAATTTAACTTGCTGGGAACATCTGGGCTTTTCTCTGAAGGAAAAAACAATGGAGAGGATGTGGGGAAATGTGTACTTTGACCTTGGCCCTACTTGGCTTGACATTGAGCAAACACTTCCACTTCAGTCTGGGCCTCTTTTCTCATCTATAAAATGAGAGGAGCCGTCTGACTGGTCACCGGGATCGCTTTCATCTCTAACAATTCAACGGACACTCCTTCTCCTACTGTTTCCTAAGAATTTACACGTACCATGAGGTTCCCTGCCCCCAACTGCATTTTAAAAGCATACAAAGAACTTACTTATAGATTTTATTTTTGAATACTTTGTATTATGGGTTTAAGAAGTCCCATTTCAATCTTGTAGCTCACTCTGCTTTGGTGTGACCCACTGCCTCTGTGCTGTCTACAGACACGTTGGCCAGAGACTGGCCCGTGGGGAGAGACGGCCTCAAGGGCATCGCTGTGCAGTGACTGTGACCGTCCTGGGAGGGTCCTCTCTCTACCTCCCGTGCACCTGCACTACCGGCTCGGAACTCGGATGTTTCAGGTAAGAAGTGCAGGGCCACAGGCTGAACGCCTTGAATAACCTTGCATGTTCTGCTCAGTTGTCTGGTATGATTATTTGCAAAACTTTAAAGCTAAGACTCTTCACTGAAAATTATTCTTTACTATTACCTGGTTTTAGGTAGAGATCAGGCTCTTTAAGACACACACAAAATCCGGGAATAAGTGTGTTTAGATTTTTATTTGGCAAAATGCAGTCTTCCACTTTTTTTTTCATTTTTAAGTTCTGCCGTTTTTTTCTTTTCTTTTAAACGCTTGAGGGTAATTACACTTTTTAAAGCCAGGCATTATCGTTAGTATTTTGATATTTCAATACAAGTGATAAGAAGTTGATGTAGCAGCACACTACCCCGATGCCCTGGTCATGGTACTTATGTCAGAAGGAATAAAAACCAAAGCAAGAAACAGCATGGGTGGAACTGGAGGGCATTATGCTAGGTGAAATGAACCAGGTGGTGAAAGACAAATACCATATGATCTCACCTATAAGTGGGAGCTAATCAGCAAAACAAACAAGGAAGCAAAATATAACCAGAGACACTGAAATAAAGAGCAAACCGACAATCACCAGAGGGGAGGGAGGAGGGAGATAACAGAGTAAAGAAGGGAAAGGTTTGTCAAGGGACATGTATAAAAAGACCCATGGACAAAGCCAAAGGGAAGAGGGATTGATGGTGGGAGGTGGGGGTGGGCAGGGCAGGGGAAAAAGTGGTGGTGGGAATATGGAGGCAATTGTACTTGAACAACAATAAAAGAAAAAAAATATCTCAAAAAGAAAAGAAAAGGCAAGAGCTGCAACACGAGAGCCCCGGGCAGGAATATGGATTTTTCTCAATGAAGAGATGCATGGATAATCCATAGTCTAACGCCAAGCACAGATATCCCCTTGTGGTCTTTAACTCCCACCTGCAAACACGCAGCCACGGTTACCTACCTCCACCACACCATGATGGATGGACGTGTACTGTTTCTTCTTCAGCATCACCAAGGTGATGACAATCACTGTTGCTATGACAACACCGCCCACCATGAGTCCAATGATGGCACCTTTGTTTGAACCCACATCCTCTGCAAAGAACACCTTGAAAACAATTAAGAAAAGGGACTGTCACTGCAGAAGACGTTATGATGAGGCATATGTAAAGTATCAGTATATTCAGCTTATCTCATGCTATAATTTGAGTTGTTGGTCACTCCATTTTTTGGTGTATACTTGAAAAAAATCACACATCTTACGTAACTAAGAATGACATTTGTAGTCTACAGAACAGTCTACAATGTGTGGCAGGTGGGGCTAGCAAGGCTACTTTCCTCCCAACATGTCCCTAGGGAAGCAAAACAGAAGCCAAGAAGGACCTGAAACCCTTTGACAAGTGACACATTCGGTAGGAGGTGGGATGACAGACTGAATCTATAAAAAGCTGTGAAGGCATGGATCCTGATTATAAAAGGAGGTGAGCATTTCCCCAGTCCCGGCAGGTTTAACATGGGGAGACCTGGGGCATGAAAACTACGCCTGCAGATGTCCTACCTTCCTTAGAGGGACCTCGGTACACAGGAGTAAGTGTTCCGAAACAAAAAAGTCAAACAAAAGACAAAAGGCATCTTGCTACCCACTTTTAGCCACGATAACTCAGCAGGACACTAATTAACCCTGAGAAGCATGTTTAAAAGACAGTTGATTTGAAGGGAAGTAGTATGTAAGAATTTTTCGTTAAGTCACAATAACTCATGCTTTCTTAACATGTTGTCCCTAGAAACCCAACTCAATTTGCTATTTACTTGGATTAAATATAAAAAGAATCCGGAGACCCTTGTACAGAAGAAATTTTTTCAGTAGGATACATTTATCATACTACAAGTCTTCCTAGTGTTTACAAAAACAAGTTACTCTTTTCCAAATGTAACTACTTTTAAATAGAACTATAAATGTAAACTGCAGCTTTTATCATCTTTTTCTTTTTTTTCAAAAGATTTTATTTATTTATTTTTAGAGAGGGAAGGGAGGGGGAGAGAGAGAGAGAGAGAGAAACATCAATGTGCGGTTGCTGGGGGTCATGGCCTGCAACCCAGGCATGTACCCTGACTGGGAATCGAACCTGTGATACTTTGGTTCGCAGCCCGCGCTCAGTCCACCGAGCTACGCCAGCCAGGGTCCTCATCTTTTTATATAAGGAGATGATCTCATGGCAGGTCATTGGCCTAATGACTACAATGTGCTATACAAGTTTAAGGAAAACAGTCTCCTAACTCCTGTTTTCATTTAGTATCAAGACAGATTTGATAATGTAAGATGACAGATTTTCATAACTAAAACCCGCATTCTAGCAATCTGAAGAAGCAATATAACATACAGCAAACTACGAGTTTTACTCATGGTCTCTTTGCACCACAATTAGTAGCTGTTCATAAATATTTCACTTTCTACAGAATTTGCTAGATTCACATATTTATAAAAAGCAAATCATTAATTAGCTAGTGAGACAAGTGTGAGGTAATCAGCAAGAAATACGAGCCTGGACATCTTCCTATGCCTTTAAGAAAATACTGTAATTTTGTAATATTCATCGCACTAATTATAGTGCATTATCTTATCAAGGGGTTCAGCGGTGGGAGCGGAGTCTCCTAACTGCTGCCGCTGCCATTCGTCACTGTCGCGTTACAGGAGTCACTGTAATTGCAGCGACGGACTTTTATGACAGGGGCCCCAGAAAATGCACATCGACACATTAATCTTCAGCGCTCCGCCCCAGCAGCTCCCGGTCTTCGGTGGCCCCCCCAGTTCTTCCTGTGAGCGCTTCAGCATCAGCCCCCTCAAGGACGTCGCTGATTCTATAATAACTCTCCTGGACCAACTTGCCAGTGAAAACCATGCTCCAAAAAGCTAAATGTCCTTTTACTAAAAAAAAATTATGGGAGTTAAAAATGCAAATCTGGATCTTGAGTCAGTTTTTGATTTGCTCCAATTAATTATTCAGAGTGAAAAGTCGAGGTGTAAGCAATACATTAAAAGCATTTCTTTTGGAGTTTAATAGCTGGATGTATAAATTGTACTTATAAATATTGGAAAGATAAAATTCCCCTTGAAAGAAAAAATAAAAACCACACACAGAGAAACTAAAACAAAAATAAGAGCCTGAGCAAGCCCTTCTCAAATATTATTATTGTTATGATAATTTTACTATCATTTCTTGTTCACCACTGAATGTGTGATAAAATTGTCTCCTGTATTCATCGAACCCTCTTACTGTGCTTACTGATAAGATGGAAGGAACCCTAACATAAATCAGGATTTATCTGGAGCTTTTGGTAAAGGGTTTTTACATAATGACTAGAGCTGCCTGCAAAGGAAATGGCTGCTCTTTGATTTCCTCTAATTCTAATATTTTGGGGGGACAAAAGGTGGGGGGTGGTGATTTTGTCTGGAAAGGAAGCTGTGGTTTTCCCGGCTTAGCCTGTAACCAACAGCACTGCTGGGAAAGGCCTGCAGTGTCGCTCGCTCGCCATGCCTCGGGAGGGACTCAGAGATCCTGCCCCAGATCCCGCCCCCGAGAGAGGACTGAAAGCCAGGGAGTCGGGGACAGGCAGGAAGGGAGGACGAGAGGGAGCAGGGAAGGAATTACAGACTTGCACTTGAGCCAATGGCCAGAATAAAGTGTTCTGTGAAGCCAAGTAGTGTTTGCACGTGTTTGAGAGTTTGGTCCTTCAAATAAATATATTATAAACCTGCTTTCCTAAAAAAAATAGAATGGAAATTAATCAGCCTGGGTTGTTATCATAAACATCAATTTTACTCTTAGCCCAGGGTGGGCTTAGCGGCTTTGCAGACCAAAGAACTGGACAGAAAGAGCCTCTCTTTCTTTTCTTCATGTTTCCATGACAATCCTATAAGCAGGTGTTGTATTTTTGTTTCTCATCTTTTCCTTAACTAGATGTGGGGCACAGGGTGAACAGGCGTTGAGAAGCCATCTGGCAAGACAGAGAGGAGGAAGGGGTAGGTTGTTTCACGCACCAGTTTTTGATGATGAACCTCGTATCCCGAGTCGTGCCGGAACTCCGCGTCCATCTTCACTTCCGAGATCTCTTCCGTCTTGATATTCGTCAGCCCCGAACCTGCATCGCACCATAGGCGTTTAATTACGACATGCACCACAGGCCACGTGCTGCCTCCGTGGGCAGTGACGCCACGACACAAAGGCCACCAAAGACTCTTTCTAGGCTCAAAGTTAGATGAACATAGACTAATGATTTTTTCCCAGAAGAATGACATGCTATATATATAAATCCTTCACCACCACCACCACATATTTTAAACAAAAGAGACTTAAAGATTAAAGAAATATGAAGTTAAGGCTTCTATTGCCTTTAAACACTATATATATATAGTTTATATATGTATGTATACATATGTGTATATATGTCATAAAGAATACTATATATACACACACACATATATATAATTTCTTAATGGGTGAAAACAGAAGTTAAATGTCAGTTGGGGGATTGGCAAAGCTTTGTTCCTAGAGTATGCTGGCTTGTTTTAGGGGCTTATTGTTTAGTTTACTGTATGTCTTTTAGCGCGTGCTCACAATTCTTTCAGAAAAAAAAAATAAAAGCCTTTAAAAATGAACATCAATTACCTGGTAGAACAAAACTGCTACTTTGAGGCTTCGTTCCCATTATAAATGAATTATGCGCGTGTATTTATGCAGTGAAGCATTGTAAAAGCCCTACCGTGTATCTAGCTGAGTGATTTAGGGACAGACGCGGAGTGTCACTGGCTCGTCGCGGATAAGAGCTGCGGTGCACACTTTCAAGAGCCGGAGCAGGCCCTTCTCAGGGAGGCGTCTTTGGGACTAACAGACTCTTCCTTCATCTACGTTGTTAGAAGATTCTTCCACTAATTATTATGCCTTTTGTTCTTTAAATAATTTGAAGCTTACCAACAAAATGCAAACTCATTTTTTTAAACAATCCCCCCCACAAAACTACAAAGGATAAATTTCTACATTGTATTTAAATAGCAAACGCCAAAATTTTAGGATGAGAAGGGCTTTTAAAATCATCTCCCCTTGGGTATTCCCAACCAAAGGCCAACTCGCAGCTCCAGCCTGAACAAAAGGATGGCCAGTTTTCGCACAGCTTTCTTTGCCTGGAGAAGAACCTTTCTTCCATTAGGGCCCAAATCGGTTTCCTATCATTTCTCCGAGCCTGTTCAGCGGACAGCAAGCCCAATCTTCCCGTCTGCATCACAGCGTTGAACAGATCGGATGCCCAAGGACAGGCCACGTCGTTCCTGCTGATCTTCCTCTTACTCGGGCTACACATTCCCGGTTCCTTCAGCTCCTATGGGACCTAATGTCTTGCTCTTCGTTTAGTCCCCCTTCCTGTCTTGTCTGCAAAGCGCTGAGAAACTTGTCACACCCCTGGCTGAAACAGAGAATCACGCTGTCCACAGCATGCGATGTGCCGGTCCAACGGCACAGCCTATCAGAAAGGAACGGAGGATAGCTGCCCATGACCTTGGGGACCTACGCTGGTTAGGCCCTATCACCCTTCCCTTGTCCAGTTGCTCACCAAGTTTCCGGCCCTCAAGCGGTCCGAAAACAGACTCAAGATCAGCATCAACCCACGCCTGCTTGCAGACTGTGGTGCTGCCTACTTTCCCTTCTGCTGTCAGAACTACAGCTTCTTAGTCCTATTTTCCCTGCTCTTCTGTTCCCTAGATTCTTTGAGAATCATGGAGAACAGTTCTGTGATTTCACCCTCAGGTTCTCTTGGTGTGTGATTTGGGTCATAATGATTTGAACTTGGGTAGAGAGAGAGGACAGCGTAAAAATATACCCCCACATCTGCACTCTGCTCTTCAAGAGGCGAGATGAACTCCCTTCCCTTGAGTGTGGACTGGATGCACTGACTTGCTTCTAATAAACGGAGAATACGGTGACAGTGATGGTGGATGACTTCTAAGACTAGGTCCTAAAAGGCATTGCAGCTTCCTTTCTAGACTTTCTCTTGGTCTGGAGAAAGCCAGCAGCCATGTGTGGACATGCAAGCAGCCCTATAAAAGGGCTCCATGGTGGGTACTGAGGTGGTCTGCCCACAGCCATGGGGGTGAGCTATCTTGGAAACAGGCCCAACCGCCCCAGGCCAGCCTCCCGCCATCAGATGACTGCAGCCCTGGCAGGGGTCTCGAGTGCGACCTCCCGAGAGAGCCTGGGCCAGAAGCACCCGCTGAACCACGCTTAGCATCCGGGGCATTACAGTGATAGCAAGACACTAAATGCCTGTTGTTTTAAGTTGCTAAGTCATGGGGTTATTTGTTACACAGCAACAGATAACTAATACAAGGGACTAGTGGTTTCCTTTCTTATCTTGATCTACCTTGGGTTCTCACTTCCTTTTATAACAAGGTCAGTCCCTTTAATAGAAACATGAAAGGCAGAAGGACAATCAAAGTGGGACAGGTTCCCTTTCTTTCATCTTTTACCCAGTGTTCTCACTGGCTGTCCCAGCCCCCCACCCCAGCTCTGTCCTGAGAGCGAGTAGCACGGCTGTCTGTCCTCACTTCCTTTCTTTAAAATTATGAGCACTTTATCCTAAGTTTCACCTTGTTTGGACTCTAATCATTCTGACACAAAGTTTTATTGGACTGCAACATCAACACTCTTGTTTCTTACCAGCTGTACATTTTTAGCTTTCTATAAACCCCTTTAAATCTGACATCCTTGCAGAACCACAGTAATTTCTTCATACCTCATCTTTCTTTTTTTTTTTCTGTTTAGGGTATAGCAATCCAATAGTTAACATTATATTTCTGAGATTTAAAAAAAACTTTTTTGGAAAAAAAAACTCTTTTGAATAGTTTTTCTTTTAGATTTGTGAGACCAAATAATCACATAAAAAAATAAGTAAGAAATCAGCTCCCCACTCAAAGGTTTAAAAGCCTTTTCTTAAAAGCTATTTCTGAAAATACCAAGAACACTTTTAATGGTTAAAAACCCTCAAATTCACGCATCAAGGCAGTATAACAGATCATTATAGCTCAATAGTTTGAGACTTTCAGCAGAAAGCGCTCCTGCTAGTGCATTTCTGTACAGCATGTATAATCATTTACTGAAAAGACCTTCTATGCATTAAGCAACTCTCACTAAAAGGAGAGAAAAAACAAGTGTGCACACAAGAGAACATCCACAATAATAAGCTGATACGGCACGTAATAAGACGCGATGGGTAGATGTGAGTAAGCCGCAGGGACCTTTGTTCGTGGGCTCACCGGAGGCGTGTTCTGGGTTGTGCTGACCCCAGGTTGGGCCCCAGGTTTCTAAGTCCCGGTGAGAGCGGAGAGCCTGCTGGGCACTGGAGGGCCAAGGGAGGCACGCCCTCCATGAAGCCTCTCACACAGCCTGGGGTCAAGGACCCGGTTTCCTTCATTAGGACTGGAGAAGGCTGGCCATAAATTATAGGGGAAAGGTTCGCTTTCCGCCCCCGTAAAGAGGCTGCCAGTGTGTTTTTCTTCTTTATTCTGGTCAAATGGTGTAACTTGTCCTTCCCAATCCATTTTTTCTCTGGAAACAAGCCTCGTGGCGGGGGGGCTGCAATGGCCACTCTGCTCAGAAACCAGCCCCGATACTACCGTGTTCCCTGTCCGACCCTACGTTCTAGGAGTGACAGTGCCTCGGTGTTTCAGACATGAAAGTCAGGGGGGGGGGCACCGTCCTCGGTGGTGATGATACAAAACCCTCCCTTGACGTGTTTCAGAGTGACAACAGAGATTATTCAAGAACAACGTGCTGATAGGACAATCCTGGGGCGGGTTTCTGAGTGTGCAAAATCTGAAGTTATAACACGGCACCCTCGACTGAAGCCCGCAGTCTTATGAAGCGTGCTGATGGAAGAACCAAAACTTATGCTACAAGATGGGGAGAAATGGCTCCAAGTCCTCAGCAGACTCACTAGAAACTCAAAACTGTAGTCCATCTATACGGTCTGTATGCGTATCCAGCCACTGCAGCTATTCATGAGCATGGATCCCCCTCACTTCACGTCTGAGCACTCTTCCCCATCGACGGCTTCTTCGACTGGGGGAAGCCAAGCCTTACGCCATGTAAGGAAAGCAGGGTGGCCCGGGCCGTGACCTCCCCTGCACAGAACCACTCCCCTCTTCTTCGCCAGCGGCTGTGCCTCAGACCATTCCCAACCCTTTCTCAGAGCTCATCCCCGGCACGTGCCTGGTTGACACGCCCTCTGTCAGTGCCCCATCTGCTCATGTCAGACATCGGGGTTCATATTCATACTTTATGTCCTTTGGATCTCCCTGCCTTTCCATGTCCAGCTCGTCTTTCTGGATATACAGATGCTGCGTATCCCTTCAATGCCACTTCAAGCTCCTCTGAGCAAGGGACTTAACTTAATTTCTTACTTAACCTTCCACAGCATTAAATGCATCGATCTTTGTGAAATATCAAAACGGAGTATTGCTATTATTATAACAAAGACTTTAGGGAGGCCTTCTTTCCATCTACATGTTACATCTAACTATTCTTTAGCTCTCTGCTTAAAACAGAATGTGTTTGTTCGACAGTATGTTGAAAAGTCCCCTTCGTGTTAGATTTAAAAAAATCGACTTTGGTGGCATCACCCCATCCTGGATATTTCAACAGAAACATAGCCTAGTGTGTCCCATGTAAGAGACCTAAAAAAAATTTAACTCACATTTTATGCTTGTTGATGCAAATCATCTTTTTTTTAAAAAATAAAGTAGAGAGCACTGTGAAAAAAAAAAAAAAGGCCTTTGGCAAATGAGCAACCTGGTCTGGTCTCCGCTGCAGTTAGAATGAAACCGACCCTCCGCTTTGGGCCCCACCACTGGGCCGAACAGGATGGGAATGGCAGCTGCTGGCTCCTTGACAGTCCCTTGTGTGACACTGGCCATCAGGAAGACATTAAGAGAGCCAAAGCCGTGTCTGATTTACTCTAATTTAAGTGTCTCTGAGCAGCCCTCCAGACAGAGATTCATAAAACCAGGGAGATCCGCTGTCAAGACGCGTCATTCCACAGTCCCTGCTGCCTTGTGCCTCCCAGTGCCGAGGCACGGAGACACCAGGAGTCAGACTTGGAGTTGTCCTCGGGGACTGTGGCTGGGGACAGAAGCGGCCGGAGCCTGCGAGAGAGGCGGGGTGTGCTCCGGGCCCCATGGCCGACTCTATCTGAACCACGCTTCTCTGTGTTAACCTCTTCGAACGAGGTTCATTTCCTGTTCCTTGAGTATGGCACCGGGACGTTATGAGGCTAAAGAAGAAAATAAATATGCAAAGGTGTGCCCTGTTAGGAAGCAAGTCTCCCAGGACACAGAGATTTGTTAATTCAGTAACTTCCCTCCTCTTTTTGAGTCGCCGACAACACTACCTACTGTCAGGTGGGTGAGCTCCTGCAGGGAGTCGAAGTCAGGTGTGTGTGCGCCCTGTGGTGGGGCGAGAGTATTCTCAACACCAAGTCTGAGACTCAGCCTAAGTACAGGACACAGAGCAAAAAAACGCTTTTGCTCAATGCTTGGGAAACTGGGGATACACAAAAAAGAAGTGTCTATGTTGGTGCTAATGGGAATTGTAAGTAGTAAGAAGAAATAAAGAACTTGTATGCAAAATTATGCACGTGCATCTATTGTGCTATTTTTGTCACTCACTGAGAATACGTATATACAACCTACGACAGAGGAAATGTGAACATTTCTGGGCTGTGGCGATATCTGAATTCTGATATTTTTAGAAAATTGCATCTTCTGGAGGAACTGGTTGAAGTCGGAGCCCAGTTCGGTTAGAAAAGGACCGTCGGGACCCCAGGGAGAAAGGAAGAGGCGCGCCCTGCAGCGACCCAGGTGCCGCCAGACAGAGCCGCCTCTGGGCGGGCTCCCATTCCTGAGGACGAGCAGACTCTCTATCATCCTCCCAACTTAGAGAGATCAAGACAAAAAAAAAGTGGAAAGGGCTCTCTTGTTGTTTGAAAAGGAAAGCTCAGAAAGGAAAAAGAAACACCTTAAGAAATGAAGCATAAGGAAGAGCAAAAAGGGAATTAAAAAAAAGTTTGGTCTCCAAGTCGTTTTGATCTATGCATTTTGGAGACGCGACGGAGGAGGAAAGGGAACGGCGTCTGCTCAAGCTCAAGCGAAAGATGCTGAGAGGCACACGGCCCCCCGGGCTGTACCTGGTCGAGTGGTCAGTCCTCGGTCGGCGGCAGGGCGGGCGTCCACGGGCTCGACTGGGCACGGGAAGCAAGAGGCACGGAAAGCAAACGAGACAAATCGAGATGGTAAGTTGAGGCTCCTGAACACAGAGCAGGGAAAAGCATGTGCAATACACAAGTTATAAAAAGGAGCAGCTGGAAAGGAACCACAGAGAGTTAATCCTGAGCATCAGGAGCGGGGGGACCACTTCACCAAAGGCTGACGGCTGTTCGGGGCCCATCCCGCCCCTTAGTCCGCTCACAAAGCGCTCTCCAGGGCACACAGCAGCGTCAGAGCGGGGCTGGCGGGGGTGTGGATCCATCCCCCGCTCCCCGGCCCAGAGAGTTTACAGGCGGTTTCTTGTCTTTGGATTAGAAATAAAATCTATTATACCCAGCCCAGCAGAAAATCTTCAAGATACCTCTTTTTACCACTGTCCAACCTTATCTTATTTTACAGTTGAATTAGCTATAAAAGGACTCCATTAAATCTCCAGGGGAAACTTGAAGATGAATTTATCGGGAGAGAGAAGTTTTACTGCATCGTCTGCCTTTTAGTGAGTCACATTTGTTCCCAGTTGGAGGGTAAAAGAGATAAACCAAAAAGTCAGTCGGTCAGTTGGTGTCTCTCTCTGTAAAAGGCTGATTTAAATAGATGACATACGGCTGAAATGTGTGAGACGTGGATACTCCCTCTCGTATTTGCTGTCCTTCTCAGTGTTTCCCGTGTGAGCGAGTGTTCTGGGTCTGGCCCAACGCAAACAGTGCAGGCGGCATGGCAGTGGCCACCATTGTTCGCCATCGACTGCTACTTTCGAAGTGCTTCTGATTCTCAGAAATGTTGACTTGAAGTTAAACACTCACGGGTCTTGGAAGAAACAGGCGAGGGAGAGAAACAAAGCTTTTAGGATTAATAAACGGACAAAGGGCAAATGAAGCCGAGAGAGGGGGAAGGGCCCTTGGGCAAGGCCTGGGAAACAGAAAGGGGGAAGGGTAAGGCAGCTGAGCAAAGGAGTCCCTGGGAAGGCGAGGTGTGCCGGATGGATGGCTTTTGGACCAGCGGTTTCGGTCAGAGCACCTGGGTCTCCGACAGGCATGGCCCAGGCACGCAAGGTGGGACTGTGAACCCAAATCGATTTGGAATGTCACACGTTGGTGGGAACAGTGAGGACAAAGAAAGTGACAGCATGCCAAGCCTTCAAAATGTGAGAAAATAATGTCTCTGAGAATACTAAGGCATTTGGATGAGTCAGAAGAGCAACGTGGCTTGGTTCTTCCCCATGCAGACGGTGGGACGGTAGAGGAGAAAGGAAGGTGGAGACAGGTCAACCTGACTGTGACAATGTCTGCAATTTTGGGCAGCTGGCCACTTCCGACGCTCTTTCTTCATGTGCAAAATAAAAATAATAACATTGACAACTTCTAACTGTAGTGAGGAACAACAACAACAACAAACATTTAAAACCCGTTTCAGATACTCTCAAATACTATAAAACCACATCTATTAACTACCCTGTTTATGAAATATTCTACAACTACTGTTATGAGCATGACTAACCCCGAATACTTCATTGGTGTGTTAGATGAAAACACTTGAACAATATAGTTTCTCTGTATTTCATCTTCCCCCCACCCCATCTGCAACCACATAGAGTAAGAGACTTCACTACTCCTCGTAAAATGGAGTTATTGAAAAATTATTGTACTTTTTGAGTTTCCTTACAAGGGCCCCAAATGGTGCCTCGATCGAAGATAAGGTCATACGGAAGGGCACTCGCAGAGCCAAGGAGTAACTCAGGGGTGATCACACTGGCCAGTGGTCAAATCATCAGGACGGTGTGAGACTCGGAGGGACACAGCTGAGCCTGGAGTTTAAACACGGCCTGAAAAGCTGGTCCAGCCTCGGGGTCCACTGTAATGCCACTACTTACTTCCTGTGACCCTGGGCAACCACATTCCTCCTGATTCTCAGATTTGGCCCAAATCAACACGGCTCTCCCGGGGCTCAGATGTGCAGACACACGAGAGAACCTCATAACTGACAAAGTATTATTCCCCAATCACTGCAGGGAATACGGAAAAGCATGGAATGTGCACAGAAAAAAGTCCAAAAGGTATAACCACACACACACACACACACACACACACACACACACACACACACCAATGACAACTATCATCAGTTACTTCCAGGTGAAATAACTATTTCTATAAATGACTGGGTGAAATGACTATTCCTATACATTTGTCTGCGTTTTTTTCAAGGTATGTGTAGTGTTTGAAAACAGTAATAAAACCTTTTGTTTTTTTAGGAAGATAAAAAACAATAATAGTTTTAGTTACTTAATCCCTACCCCGAGTTAACAGTTTGAGGCTGACTCAGTATGAATTAATATTGAAAAATTAACTAACTCTTGTGGTTCAGTGGGCAGACACTGATACATTTTTAAAAAGACAATTATGACATTATTGAAAAAAAAAGAACACACACTGACAAGACAAAGTACTGCACTGTTTTTCAACTACAGCAAATACCTGCTAAGTTTTCAAATGGACTATTAGTTGTTAAACTAGAAGGTTGATTTCATAGTGCTCAAATATTTTAACTTGGCTCTTTAGTAAATCAAAATAAGAAAGAGATCACCTTAAAGAGTTAAAATAAAGCTTAACCAGAAATGTGTTATTTCCTGTTATTTCCTGCCTTCAGTAAGCTTTGAATCAAATCCTTCCCTACAAGAGGAAACAGAATGATTGAAATTCTGGGATTTTTGAGTCTGTCAGTTCTGGCGCTGCGTGTAATAGACCAATTCTAAGCTAAATGCGGCCTCACACGGCCTCCCCACCCGGTCCGAAATGATGAAGTATTCAGGAGCTTTACACAAAGAGGGGCCTGAGGAGGACTGGATTTCAGGTTTAATGAAAGACTTTATTAAACCCCAGTTTCATTACCGGCAGTGATTTGTTCATGGCTTTTTTTTGTGGCCAAGTAAAAATAGGGCAGAAGGCAACTTCACTTTGCAAGTATGTACACGCAGTCTTACAAGACACGCTGTGCCTCGTTAAGAATGCTATTGTATTTTATGTGTGTGTCACATACACAGAAGCTGCTTGCTGGCCACAAAGGGTTTTTGCGTTCCACGTTGACCTTCCTGGCTGGCCTGCTCAGGAAGTCATAAAAATGAACAAACCCAAATGCTATTAACACAAACGCTTCCAGCCACATGATTTCATGATCCATGAGAAAAACAGTGTTATAAAAACAGCTTCACTTCAGTTTAGCCAGTGAGGTTTGGTGGACTGGAAAAAAAACACAGAATAAAAATCTCTGCAGGCAGACTGCAGCTGGTTGAAGAAGCTAAAATACTGGAAAATGGTGTTTGTGATATGCTTACTTTTTCAATGTAAGTTAAAAGAATGCCTGGGTTTCTGACCCTCTATCTGGACTTCACTGATTGTTCTTAAGAGACACAAGACATTTTTGGTAAATGTTTGAAGCTGTCATGATAAAGGCCGCATGAACAATGGCGGGAAATCCTTTGAGAATTCCAGGTCTTTTCAATAGTTGCGTGTGTGGGCACATGCCTGTCAGATTAACAAGAAACAGGGCTCTGGAAAGAGGGAGAAAAGGGGGAGGAGTAGGACAGAAAGGGAGTTAGGTGTACAGGTATTGGTATAAAATAATGTAATAATTAATAAATCATAATACAAGAACAAACTCTGTTTCACACCGGTAAACCTACGTTTGTCACACCCTGTATATAGCTTGTTGTAGTCGTTAACTTGAAGGATATACCGTCTGAGCCATTGAGTGACTCTCCTTGAGACAAGCTGGTAAAAAACGTCTCTAAAAAGATCCTGGTTCTATTTGTGGGGGACAAAAAGCTACCACTAAACATGCGCTGTGTTGTGGGCACTTTGCTAAGAGCTTTACCTGCCATCGCATTTCATGCTCACAGCCTGTTTTTAATCAGGAGTTATTATCAACTATTTTTTTTAAAGACTAGGAAAGAGTCAGAGAGGCTGTGTCCCTTGCCTGCAGCACACAGCACAGCTGGAATGTAAACCCTGATCCCCATCATTCAAGGAGGTGGGGGGTGGTGTGGAGGTGGTTTTGGTCCTCCCGTGACTGGAGGAGGCAGGGCACTATTGGCTTTCGGCAGATGGGGACCGGGGATGTTAGGCGCCAGGCACAGGGCAGTGCCTCCAACGCACCCTACACAATTCCTTATATTTATGATTACGTGAGTCCAGAACCGAACTCAGTTTCATTAAGAGACACAAAGCATTTCTGCACAGTGTTTTACTGAAACCTGGATATTCCAGGAGCTTACACTGGGGAAGCAGGAGGGAAGACGGGTTTATTTATAGCCTTCCCGGGAGTTATTCACTATTTTAGGAAATCACGTCCGTTTGCTCGTAGAGCCCGAAGGGTGGAATCAGCCTGGAGCAGCACGCACCTGCATTTGTCACACCCACGCGGGACAGACGCCTGACCAGGCTGCTGTTCTGTCCAGCAGTTGTGCCCTGACACTTACATGCTGAAACACTTACTGCACATCACCTCCCTTTGAGCGATTCCCCCTGCCCCCGACTCTGTCAGCCCCTTTTACTTTAAGATTCCTTATTAAGAAGGCTTTTTGAAATGTTATAAAAGGGGTGCTGGGTCAGATGACAGTGAGAACCAGAACTCAGCCTCTGAGATCTTAAATATTATTGCTTCCAATACTTCTTTTACATAAGATTTTCCTGTTTGTCAGTAACAGATCTTTATTTAACAACAATACAAGTTCTTTTGATGAGGGCTGGGCAAGGCAACAGCTCTGTCTGGGTCAGGAATCCAGAGGCATTCAATCCGGGGACTTTGCCTAACTGGACATCTTGGCAACACCCGAGGGCCGTGTATGTGTGTGTGTGTTTTCTCACACTTGTGTGCACGGATGCTTTTCCCGGGGCCAACACTACGATGTGTGCACTGCTAGGAATCCGAGCCCAATGACCACAGACTGCTCTTGGAGTCCACATCTGAACAGAGGTGTTTAGTCCATCGCAGTTCTGGGTATCTCCAACCAGATTGTTCTTGCCTTCCCCAAAGTGATCATTTTGGGGAAATCCAGAGGAGTTAATCTGAATTTATTTCTTTGGATATTTGACAAGAGGAGGGGAAGGAGGGGGATGCCGATGCTTTGGTGCTTTGGTGATACAGTTCCTCCTTATTATTTCATCTTAAAAGGAACAATCCTTCCATTTTCTTCCTCACCAAAATGGATCCGGTTTGACTACTACTGAAAATCTTTGACAGAAGCAGCTTGCTTAATAAAATGCATGTAATTTTAATGGAGATCATCTAAGTCAGGATAAAATGTCTAGGGCATATAAAGGCAGATTTATTTAATTGTTGGCATTATTTCTACTATTAATATGATAAATGCCAATTTAAATGGACCTCATTAAAGACGCCAAGGAAATATGCCGGTTGATGTTCATGTATAAAGCAGTTAAGCTCTTAGTAGCTTGCAGAGTGAGAAAGTAAAGGAAAAATTCGAAATCCAGGAAATGTGATCTCTCCTGGGACGATACACGTTTTGTTATTCTGCAGTGTGCTGTGTGGCACTAGGCTTGTTGTATTCCACTGGATTTGCTACACGTGAAACATGAACACAAGCAGGACGTTAACGTCTCTGATTCTTGCTAAACTCTGCACGTGTACAGTCCACGTGTCTCTGAATTCACAACACTGAAGAGAAGTTCCAAGTATTATAACAAACAAACATAGTCATTCGTATAAATTCAGTTTAGTCTGCTGCTGGTGTAGATTCCTTTAGCTTTCTAAATCTCTTTCCACAAACTTTACCATAAATAAAATAATAATTTGTAGTCTCTATATCTGTGTGTGTGTGTGCTCATAAAAATGATGGAGGTAGGTGCTGAACTGTGTTGTACAGTTCAATAATGGCAAATATTAAGTGGAAACATTTCATTTATAGAAACTATATATTTGAAAAAATGAAAAGGTCTCAAATCATGAGAACTTGCTAGGTAATTCTTTATAAAAATAACAGTGTAATCTATATATTCAATTTTTTTTTCATAAAAAGCTAACTCTTGGACATAAATGACACACCACACACTTAACATTATGTGGTATAAAGGACATTAAGGACAGTGACTGTTGATCAGAAAAGTGTGTTAGACTTCAGCGTGTTACCTGCCTCTCCCTCAATCAGACAGCCCAGCATTGTAAGGGAAAAGGGGGAACCTCATGTACATTCAATTCACAAACGAGACTGGACACCTTCCACACACAGTTCTCATCAGACACGGCACAATGAGGATTTTCAATGGCCACACTGTCTCCACCTATAAAAATTACTTTAATAAGCAAGCTACCCTGGTTTGTCATAACTAAAATCCTTAAAATTTTCCCTCTATGTAAGGACTATTTTTACAAATAATAAAGTCTAAATTATTTTTATGTCATAGATGACATTGCTATTCATAGCTGGTATTAACACTATAAGGTGTTAATTTCAATAAGGTGACCCTTTTTGAAATTAATGAAACCAATTTGGGGTGATTACTCATGTTATGAAAATGGTCTAGATGATGATTTTCTGCGATGGTTCTTTTAAAAAAAAGCTCTCTGGTGCAGAAAAAGGTCTTATGTTGGACTCAGAACTAATCTGAGGAGTGATTGACTGCATTTTCGGTTACCCATACTACAAATGTCCATATTACAAATATTACCAACATTAAAAGTTGCCAGTTCACCAAAGAAAATCACAGGTAAAATCCTGCTGTGTTTTTCAAAAATATGTTATTAGTATCTCAAAATTAGGGTGTCATGTGTTCAAAATTTTATACTTTTGAACATGTAAAGTTGATATAGAATTTTAACAAACCTGAAAAATGCTCTTTCCTAAATAGACATTATTTGAACATTTCTACTAAGAAATCTGAAAGAAAGCACATTAGCCAATGTGCAATTTTTAGACAGAGAAAGATTTTACTTCTCTGAACACTTAGGAAAAAACAATACTTAGACAAATGTGCATTTTAATTTTGACAGTTGCCTTATAGTTCGCTTTCTAAATACGAAATTGTGGAACTCTTAAGCAAAATCATGTCATAAGTGGTTTTCTGTCTTTGCCTTCAACATTTAATGGAATCTGATATTTAATGCACTAGAATAAGCAACCAAGATAAAAACTATTTGGGGCCTTTCAAATCTCCATTGATGCAGACCCCGCTGTAATTTCTCTCTTCACTTGTGAGCTGCCATCTCCACAATTCTATCACCCATCTGTCTTCTTCGAAAGTGGGCACTCCAGGCCACCGTCTCGTGAACACAACTGAATTTTGTGCTTTCGTTCCAGAATCGACAAAATAACTCTCAGTGAGAAAGTATTCTAAAAATTCTTATTGGAAGTCTCCCTTCAGAGCACTAGAGAGCTGTGTGAACGCCAGAATGTTCTCGCTCCCTCCCGGCCTCTTACCTTCGTTCTCTGTGTTGGCGGGCACAGAGTCAACCGCAAAGGGATGCCAGGGCTGGAGATCGTCCAGGCTGAACTCTTCATTCACGGGGAGAAGCTCCACGGTGGTTTTGGTTTCGGTCAAAGATGGCATGAGAGCATCATTTCCATAACTGATTCTCGGTTCACTGATCATGTTGGCCAAGACATCATCCGAGTAGTTCTGCTCTTTCTGCAGCAGCTCATCTGCAATAAGACAAAGCGCGTATGAGCTCAGAGAGCCATGAGGCGGTACCGTTACCGCCTCCATTTTACAGATGTGGAAACTGAGGCACGTGGTAGTTCAGCCACTTGTGCAAACTCATAGCTAGGTAGTGCCCGAGACGGGCTGTGAGCCCAGGAGAATGGCTGAGGCCTGGGCTGATGCTCCTTCCAGTGGTGAGACTCCAGGAGAACTAGCTGGTCATGTTCTCCTCTGACAGATTCTCCCAGTACCCTATGATCACCGGGGGACCGACAGCATGCTTTGGTGATGAGTCTGCCGTGGATTGGTGGCAGCGAGCAAGGCACATTTCTTTCAAGCCCAAGGACATACCCAGTGAATCCCTAGCCCTTCCTTGAGCACGTGCAAGGACCAGAGCAGCCTGACTGACAGGCGGCCTGCTCCAGTCTTGAGCAGCTCTCATGGTTTCGTCTTGGATGAGCCTGTCTTCCCCAAAGGCTCCCTGTGCGGCATGACCTATGTTCATGGTGACCAGAGAAACAGTCCCCTTGCCCTCTGAGTGTGGTCTTGCACACAGGAAGCTCTGCTCCAGCCTCCTTTCCCGAGGGCTAAACACCCCTCCCTCCCAACACGCCTCAGGTGATCTCAGAGCAGATACCCTCGCCTTAATCCTCTGCTGCTCCTCTTCTCCACAAATGCTACCAGTGACCTCCTTATCAGAGCGACTAAGTTCTTGTAGACCACTGAACATTCCTAGATTATACATTTTGTTACTGAAATGCATTTTAACAGAAAAAAAGAGCTTGGAATACAACTGCGTCAAGTGTTAACTATTGCTTCAAAAACAGGGCATCATAAGATGTAAGAATCTCCTACTCCTATGTGTTGCCAAAGATTCACCCAGTTTTTCTGTGTGATATATTTTTCAAAAGTAGATGTTCATCTATAGGAACTATGTTATTAACAATATTAATCAGAATATCTCATTTTCCAACGATATCTCCGCCAAGAGTTTATGGTATTATATATTTCAAACTAGTCAATGTTGAAAATAGAGAAAATTATCAATGGACCAAGAAAGGAAATAAAATCGGGGTGTAAATTTGATTTGTAATATTTTACTATCATCCTTCACATTCTCTTTTAAATCGGCAAAAAAATTTATCTGAAAAATTAAAATTCTTTTCAAATATATCTATTAAAACTATTTGATAGAACAGCATTAAAGCATGAGATTAACATCCTTGCAAGGAGTTGGTTTTATTGTAAGATATTATTTTAAATGATGAAATCCCAAGCAGATCAGTTCTTCTGAATTCTAATTTGAGTTGTAATATATACCCGTTCACTGCAGACTGCTCTAAAGTTCAATCCTTGATGCTTGCGATGACCTTTCCCATACAGACAAAGGCCCCCATCACATTTCTTCCAACTTTTTCATGTCCTACAGAGTCACAGGTGATGGCTCATAACTTAGCTGGAGTCTGCTTTAATACATTACGTGGGCATTTCTTTCATATAAATCTTATGCCTGTGACTGTTAAGGACATAAAATACTAAAGAAAAATCTTCTGGAATAATTTTTGGTGCTTATGCTTCATCTTGAGAGGACGTAACCATCACCATGATCTGTGTTCGGCGCCACCAGGCACCAGGTTGTTCCCGGGGCCTTCGCGGCACTCTCGTAACTCACCCTCCCCTTCCCCATCTGAAGGTGCTTTCCCTTTGTCGTGCACTCACAGTTACTCAGTCTGTTCCTCGTGACTTCTCAGTGTAAGCCTTCCCGTTCTTCTTTTCTAATCTCTTCAACCCTATCATTTTCTCTTGTATCTCTTTCTGTTTCTGGAATTCTCCCTGCAGAAACCCCATCCATTCTGAAACTTATGGACCCCCGCCCTTTGGGTGATTCAGAAATGTGTCTCCCTCCCACTCCAGCTCTGACGTCTCCCTCCCACTCCAGCTCACACATTTCTAACTGTTTGCTGGCCCCATTAACATAGATTTTTGTGAACTTGGAATGTACAAAACTGTGCTCAAGGCCCCGTGTTCTAATCGTGGCAGAGCTGTTCTTCCAGACACAGGTACGGAACCTTCAGCACTACCTGTGACTCTGTCTGTTTCTTTGTGTCCCATACTTACATTACTGTCAACTTTTAAGTTCTATTTCTGGATTCTCTCTCTCTCTTTCTCTTTTTCATTTCTCACTCTTTTCCACTGGCCACCATAAAGCATCATTACTTTTTGCCTGGATAACTGTGACGGTCTCCTCGTTGCCGCCCTATTCTAATTTTTATCTCTCTCTGTTCCCCAGGCCTTTTCCTGATGCTGAGAAATGGCTCCTCCCATTTCAGTGGCTCCTCGGTTTCTACTGACTTGATCCCAACGACTTAGCCAGGTGCTGGAGGCCCTCTGTGATCTGGGCCCGCTTTATCTTTCTACCCGTGAGGCTCGCAGCTCTTCGCTGTACACACCTGTGATACTGTGATTTACAATAAACAATGTATATTGTTTATTGGCAGAGTTCCTAAAACCCTTGGAATCCCTTAACTGCTGAGGGCTGTAAAGGTGCCTTTCATTATGCTAATGACATGATTTTTAGAAGAAATCCCCTTAAGAACCAACCAGATGATTAGAGGGCTGAAGCTTCAGCTCCCCTCTTCCAGACCTCCAGGGGGAGGGGAGGGGCTGAAGATTGAGTTCAATCACCAACCGCCAATGATTTAATCAATCATGCCTATTTACTGACTGACGCCTCCATAAAAACCACAAAGGACAGGTTTGGAGAGATTCCAAGCGGGCGAACAGGCGGAGGTGCTGGGGCAGTGATGCCCTGGACAGGGCACAGGAGCTCAGTGCCCTTTCCTCATGCCTTGCCTTATGCAACTCTTCCCTCTGGCTGTTTCTGAGTTATAACCTTTTATAATAAACCAGTGATCTATCTAGTCAGTAAAATGTTTCTCTGTGTCCTGTGAGCCACTGGAGATTAACAGAACCCAAGCAGGAGGTGGTTGGGACCTCCAGTTTATGGCTAGTCACCAGAAGCCCAGGTGACCAGGTAGAGTTGCCATTGACTATGGTAGGGGAAAAGGGTGGGTAGTCTTGGGGGCATGACACCAGTCTCCCGCAAGAGCCCCCACGTCTCCAGCCTCCATAGCACAACAAGGGGGTTCCCTCTTAGTCTCATCCCTGGAATGCTCACGCAAATGGAGAAACCATGCAAGATAAGCACACCTTTGTTCCGGGACATGTTCCACTGTTACAGGTTTGCAAGCCAGCCGACTTAAACACCACTAGCCCCATTGACTGGTGATTGCTTTCGTCCCCTCAAACAGGCATCTCCCATGGGAGCTGGGAGGAGGACTGTGCCCATCTCAGCCATGGAAGTAAAAGGGTCGAGTGGGCGACCGTCAGAGAGGACAGCCTCACATTGTCCTTCGTCAACTATCCAGGGCATCTCGGGTTGTGGCAAATTGTAGGGCTGCCTTTTCTCTTTTATCCCTTCTTTACACGGTTGGCAGGAAATTTCTTCCAAAAGGCCATTTGAATGTTGAGTCCCACAATGATTAATTTTCCTGGTATATTATTATATTCATTTTCAGAACATGAGAGAATGAAATATTCAAGAACTGCTATTTATTTAGGGTAGAGTGAAAAGCACTTAGGCTTTTATTTTTGGTGCAAACTAGCGGAAATCCACATTCCCATCTCAATCAAACACAGCAGATTCAGACGCTGCCACCTCCGGCTATCTCATCTGGGAAAAATAAAATCAGTGTGGTTTTAAGGGACGAAAAGAGGGTGGAAGTGATGGATTTCCATTAGCTGGGGTAGGATTCAATTTTGAACGGTCCAAGGCAGCCAGCTACCTCTTGATATTATTAAGGGCTCAGGATTTTACCAGTGGCTAACGCAATTGGCACCAGGCAATTCCGCCTGTGATAAAAAAAATCCAGAGCCAAATATGATTATGTCATTGCTCATTCTGAGTGGGACTTTATCTTTGAATTCTGTGGTGAGACTAATCACACAGAAGCCACACTTCTATGTTGGTGGCCCTGATGGATGATCTTTTTTACCCAAATTAATGCAACATTTTATTACAATGCTTTGGTGGCAAATAGTGGGGATTTCCAAAGCTTTCAAGCATCTGCATTTGCCAATTGCTGTGTTACCTCTGGAGTTAATTATTTTCTTTTAGAATACCCAGGCACATGAGCTTTGCAGTTAAAAGCAGAAATATTTAACTGAGTTCAGTGATGGTAATATTTAATCCACAGTTTTAAACAATAACAGAGATATTTAATTTCAAATACTAAACATCCAGCAAAAGCCCCACCACCTTGCCCTTGTACAAATATGTTGAGGATGTATATCAGACATACTCCATAGTAAAGAGGACAAAAGGACTTCATCACTTAGCCGTCACTGAAAATCTGTAAACTATTTTAAAGAAACTAACATCAGATGAAACACCCAATAGCAATTTCATCTTCCAATGACTAAACAATTTTGTTTTTGTAGAAGCAATAGACTTCCATGATTTTGGAGAGAAACAGCCTCATAAGAGAGCTGCTAAATGGGAAACAGATGAATTCTAACCTTCGTCTCTTAATTTTTCATCCACTAGTCAAACTCCTTCTAAAAATTGAACTGCCCCCTTGTAGATTTCAAGAAAAATAAAGTTGACAGGCGCTACACCAATTGTCTTTTACAAGCTTTGGTTGTAACCATTGGGCGAGCTCTCACAGCCTCTCAACTCATCTGCGGTGGGGAGGGCAATTTCCCAGTCGTGGGGGAGGCTGGGTCTCAGCCTTCTATTGGGTGAAACACAGCTAGCAAAGGTCTAGAGGGAACCTGACGACCCAGGCTTTGGTGCTTTTTCTTTGGGAGGGGGATTGAAGCCACATTGCTGTTATTAGTTTTTTTCTGATTCTTCTGTTTCCTGGTACAAAAATGAGTATTTATGAGCAACTTTTACCCAAAGTGGAAATTCCCTTTCCACCTTATGTAACAGGGGATTCTC